AAGAAGCTTCTAAGCAACGTAAGCTTTTGGGGGCGCTTTACCCAGATGGCTTATTTTCGAGGTTTGCAGAAAAGCGCTGTCATCTTTCTCTTCTGAGGGGGGGAAAAGATGTGTGTGGCAGGAGGACCAGGCGGGCTAAAAGTTCTGCCTGTTTAAGCCTGGTGGTTTCAGTCTGGTTTGAGTATGGTTTGTTCCATATTGAAATGGCTGTGACCAACTGATCTTGGATCTTCTGCCCCCAGCTCACAGCTGAATCCCATTTCATGAAAGATCTGGGTTTGGACAGTTTGGACCAAGTGGAGATCATCATGGCTATGGAAGACGAATTTGGTAAATCAGAGTTTTGCATGTTCAGATTTATTTTCTGTTTCTGCTAATCCTAAAGTGCGACTATAGCAAGCAAGTGTTCTTTTCTGTGAATATTAACGTTGACTTTCCTGGGGGACTTTGCAGCACTGCAAGAGCTGTTTGTTATAAGAACACTCAATAGCAAAATCTGAAATCGAGGAACTTTAACCTCTTGCTTGCTTGAAGTTACCTAGAATGTCTCCCTGCTGTCATACACCAGCATTGCTGCAGAAACTCTGGGAAGGCATTAGTACCTTTAAATGCATGTGAGGGGGCGCTGGTTGGCTGGCTGGCTTGGTAGCCCAAGTTATTTGCTGTCCCTGCCTTGTGTATTACCCAAAAACAGTGTCATATAAGGCATAACGCAGCTTGAAACTCAGCATAGTTGTGAAATACTGAATCTGAACTGAACTTACATGGCTGAACAGCAACCCCTGCCCATTTGTCCTCAGCCAAGTTGCAGGCTTCTGAGCCAGGAGTAATTGCTTCCTTTAGCCTTGCTCCTGTTTCCGCTGTTTTGGGCTAAATATGTGTGCTTTCTTCCAGGATTTGAAATTCCTGATGCAGATGCAGAAAAGTTAATGTGTCCACAGGAGATTGTAGATTACATTGCAGATAAGAAGGATGTTTATGAATAAAAACAGTTCTTCAAAGCAAAGTGAGTAGAAATGTACTTCTGTTGAGTGTCTCGGGTAATGGCTTTGCGCACATGGTGCACGTGCACAGCGGTGTGTGTGATAGCCGCCGCAGAGGGGAGTGTCCGGTGCGAGGCAACGGGAGCGGCATACAGCTGTGTGGCAGGTAGCGCCTAGCATGTGTGGGAGGGAGTCCTAAGCAGCCACCTGCCCTAAGCTGGGAGGAAAAAGTGTACGTGTTTTCCTGAGGTGCCTGCTGTTGGAGACAGAATTGGGGCTCAGTGGACCTTTCATCTACCCCTTGTGGCACTTCAAGCATTGAGGTTTGCTGCTGGTCTTTTGGTGGGAGGGAAACTGATTTCAGTCAAGGAGGCCTGTCTTTTCAGCACTCCTGTGAGCACGGGGTAGCTGGCTGTTTGATAGCAGGACTCTGAACTGCCTATAGCAACCGTCTCCTCCCTGCCAGCCCTGCCTGAGTCTGCAGCAGAAAAAGAACGGGGTAGGAAAGGGTTGTTCTAGAAGCTGCCAGCTGAGGCACTCTGGGGCCGCAGGGGAAATGAGCTGGTAGACTGGCCAGTTTGCAGTAGTGCGCTGGTCCATATTCCTGTTTGCTCCTCTTGTGTACATTTCTTGCCTCCCCCCACGCTTTCCTCCATCAGGATTGAAGCGTGACAGGTCAGTGGGGGAGCTATGTCCATTTGCTGCTATCTCTGTGCCAAGAATAGATGGAATAAAGGTGAGAATCTTACTGATTCTAAAGACCTGTCACTCATTACTTGGCTTCCTTTGGTATTCTTCAGTGCTGGTCTTGTCTCTGCTTGGCTGACTTCTTCTGTGCCTTAAAAGGGTAGTTCTTGGTTGGTGAAATATTAAATGTGTGAATTTTCTTTAACAGGAGATGTCTCTACCACTACGACTGGGCAGATGTCAGCAGATATGAATATAAGCGCACATGCTGTACTGTTGCTGCTTTCATTAGAAAGTTGTACTGGAAAGTTGTATTGGACATTGTATTTAAAGTTGTCTGAATATGTTGACCTTTAAAAACAGGGAGAAAAAAAGGAATAAATATACAAGACCAGTGTTGCGTTGATGGCCTTCTGTTTCGCATCCGGTGCCAGTGGCCCACTGTGCTTAGCGTTCAGTGTATGCAAGACCTCAGCATTAGCTATAGCGACTCCATTCCAAATGTCTCGCAGGCACTGAGGTGCTCTGCTCCCGTTACTGAGTCTTCGGCCTCTGAGTGCAGAACACTGGGAAAGGTCTCGGTCCATATCTTCACGCTCTGCATCTGACCACTGACAACTCAGCCTGCTGTTCAGATCAGGGCAACAGCGAGTCCCTGGCCAGTTTGAGTGTTACCTCTTGTTAGAAAGATGCTTTACACTGGGAATTTCCTATTTGTGCTGCACACAGGAAAAGTTGAAACCAAGAACCCCACCAAGTACAAAAGGCTGTATTGCACAGGTGCAGCTAGAGAAACCTATGGCAGAGAATATATGTTTTGAAGAAATGTTAGTTGTAGCAATTTCTTTAAAAGTACTGCTCTCTGCTGCCTTGAACCCTTGCTGCAGGACGAATTAGTCTTCGTTTTGTCAAAGACTCGGGAGGTAATGTATTAAATCATCTGGCTTCTGTTCTATCTGCCATTCTTTAAACACGTGTCTGCTGGTTCATCTTAACGCTTAGGCCTCCCATCCTCAGACCAGTCCTGTGTAATGTTAAAATAACTGCTGAGCCCAATGTAAGATTTTGAATTTAGTACTAAAAAAACACTTTCCTGACTCAAATTCACAGAGCTGCTTCTATGAGTAATTGTCTTTACTAGAAATGCCCCTCTTCTGTAACAGAGGCTTTTGCCAACTTCTTACCATTTGCTCAGTGCAGGCCTGTTACCTTGTAGGATAAAAGCATCACGTAGCAACCAAGCAAACTGAAAGTTGGTTGGGGATTGCTCGGCGCCGAGTGTTGCCGTTCGTCGTGGCTGTACCTGCGTGTAAGCGCTAGCACCACCTGTACAGCTCGTGCCACCGACCTCAAAGCTTTGCACCCTGTGCTGCTGGGGTGGTCATGTTTTCCATGATCTCATTGCTTGTATTGTCTGCTCTTTCCAATAAACCAACCTTTTTCTACCTTTAGTGCATTCATTTCACAAATGGTAGTAAAAACAAGTTCCATTGGAAATGCTTCTACTTTCCAGATGGAAAATAAAAGGGGGAATGACTTTCCTGCTGCTGAAAGGCAGGATCACACCGTTTCTGTAAGCCTAACTAATCTCAGCATGAGAGGCTTGCTTTAAATCTCTCCCAAGAGAGAAATTAAAGTTATTTCTGGACGCTACACAGTTTTTCCTCTGAGCCAAGAAACACTTTCGTATGTCAAAGGGGCGCTGCTAGGCTGTGAGCCAAGAAAGTGTCACTTGATAACATGTCTTCCTCTGACAATCAGGGTGACAGGATGATGGAAAATAAACCGGAGTCTGTTTCAGCCCCCCCTTGGGTGCCTTAACTCAGTGTAGGTGTTTTGTTGTCACAGCTTGCCCTATAGAACAGTATTCCGTTTTTAAATTCAGACTGTGCTGAATCCTCAGCCAGCTCCGAGACCCTTTGCCTAAAGCTCTTGGGTGCCCGCGTTTCACTTTCATTGTTTGAGAGGATGGTACCATTAGAAACTACTTAATGGCTCCTGCCCCTAAAGTATAGCCTGAACATTTTCTGCTCAGGCTGCACAGTGGAACGGGTGGGAAAAGTGGTTGTTTGGGACAAACCCATTCTGTATGAAAGTACAGGCAGGCAGTGAAGGAGGAGACAACGTTGTCTTGAAACTTAAAGGTAAATTGAGGAGTCAGCAGAAAGCAGCGCTGGTGGACGGCTCCTAGGACGCTTGTGCCCCACGACCGAACAAGCACCTGAGCGCTCCCAGCACCGGTCCTCTCTCGTAGAAGCCTTCCTACCGTTACAGCTCCCCCCCTCCAACTTAGGAGCAGCAAATACCTTCTGGTGGATGATGCATTACTTTACTTTAAAACAGGCAGGAAATCCTCCACGGCGGTATTTTATGAGTCTCGCTTAGCGTTTGCACCGTGAGAGCTGGGGTGGCTTCTGCACTGCGCCTGGCCAGGTGAGCGGCGGGTTCCCTTCGCCCCAGCGCGGCAGCCGAGCACCCGTGCA